CTAATTATGATAAACAACTTCCTTTGCAGCTCCTTGGGGCCCCCTGCAAATGGTCTATGGAAGATGTCACTGTCATAGGGCCTGCTACCTGGTGCTTCAGCATCTTGGACCATGTTCCTTGGTGTGGTCTCGAATTGGGGGTCAGAGGAAAGTAGGCTGGGGAAGAGGATGTGAAGGTGGGGTCGTGTGCAGCTGGGCTGCTATCAATGGCCACCATCTTCAGGGTGGTGACCCTGCCGTGGGTTGCCGTATCTCCCAGTCACTTTTTTTTTTTGGCAGCTGGCTGGTACAGGGATCAATCCCAGGGCGTTGGTGTTATCAGCACCATACTCAAACCAATTGAGCTAACAGGCTGGCCCCTCCAGTTACTTTCTAAAGGTCTTTCCTGGACTGACGCACTGGCAGTGCTACAGGGAAAAGCTGCACCTTCTGCCCCTGGTCCCTGAAGCTCGAGCACATTCTCGAGGATCACCTACCAAATTGTACTGACCATGGTCCTTTGGGGCCCCAAAGAGAGTGTGTGTTCTGTGGGCTGAGGCATTCAGGGTAGGCTTCCTGAGGAGAAGTGGCTTGAGATAGGATGGAAAATTATAGAACAACTGAAAGAGGGAGGAGATTCCACATGGGAGGCTCCACAGAATTAGAGGTGGGAATGTGCTTGGGCTGGGGCTAAGATGGATGAAGATTGTCTCTTCATGGGCCAGTGGTCTCAATCCTCCAGCTCCCTGGAAATTCCTTTTCCCTGAGCTCTGGGCTTTCAAGGTCTTGTTTGTCAAGGTGACCACATGGATCCAAGGAGAATTAATTTGTCTCCATTTTTATTCATCAAAGAAATTAATGTGCTGGTCAGAGAAATGAAAATGATGGTCAGAGCTGCAGAGGTCCACTGGCTGAGGGCAGGGAGGGGGAAGGTCAGGGGAGCCCTGGGGAGGGCTGAACCCTAGACCTTGTGCAGCCCTCTCTTTGACACCCCCATGCCTGCAACTCGGTTTCTCTTGGCAGCAACTCAGAGCCCCAGATCTAGAAAACCAGAGCAAGGATCCTGGCGGCCCAAGAGGCAGGCTGGGGATAGTTAGGGAGCAAGCAGCTCCAGCCACTCGGTCTGGATGCCTGTCACCCTCCGTTCTGGCTGGCTGGCCACATGAAGGGCCCATTTTGTCACCTATTCACATGGGGCTTTCATCTCTGTAGCCAGTGAAGCATTGCTCCTGCCTCATGGGGGAGGGGAAGCCCAGGCCTGCCATACCCTCAGACCCCACACCGAAAAGGCATAGGCCTCCAGGGCATTCTAAGCAATCTATCTGCCTCAAGCAAGCATTGCTCCTGCCTCATGGGGGAGGGGAAGCCCAGGCCTGCCATACCCTCAGACCCCACGCCGAAAAGGCATAGGCCTCCAGGGCATTCTAAGCAATCTATCTGCCTCAAGTCCCCAGCTTCCAAACACTCAGAGTCCTTCTTAGCAAGGACTATGGGCAGAGACACCCCTCAATCTTGCAGAAATCAAGTCTCCCCATTTCAACAAGCCCATATGGGCAAAAGACTGTCCTCTCACCACAGGAGGGGCAGGAGCCCAAGGGGTCATGACTCCTTTCCCAGAGAGCCAGGTAGGTATGGCAGCCTCCAGGGCAGGGCAGGGCAGGAAAATCAAATCCTGAACCCATGCTCAGCCATTAGAGAAGATGGGGGCATTAGAGGTTGGCACCTGAGACCCAGGCGACCAAGGACTGACCCGCAGTCCCCTGCCGGGGAGAGAAGAAGGCAGCCCACACCTGAAAAGGGGTGAAGTGGAACTGACAGGGCTGCTAGTAAAAGCAGCACCCCCTGGCCCCCACCCCTCAAGCCCACCCTCCAACTGGGGGAAACAGCAGTAACTATCGCATGGTAGGGGTGAGCTGGGCCTCCTGGGAGTGGATCCTTTTGGATCCTTTCCACTGTGGCCTGTCCATCTGTCCGGCAGCCATAGCCCTTGTGGTGTCACCAACCCACTGTGTTGCTTGGCAACTTTCCAGGATTAGCACTCTGCCCCTCTCATCCCAACGTCCCACCAGGGGTGATGGTGCCGTGGCAACCCGGATGGATACTGCAGTTTTTTATTTTATTTTTTATTTTTATTTATTTATTTATTTTTTAAAAAGATGACCAGTAAAGGGATCTTAACCCTTGACTTGGTGTTGTCAGCACCACGCTCTCCCAAGTGAGCCAACCAGCCATCCCTATATAGGGATCCGAACCCGCGGCCTTGGTGTTGTCAGCACCACACTCTCCTGAGTGAGCCACGGGCTGGCCCTTACTGCAGCTTTTTAGACAGCTGTACCCAGTGTGGGAAGGACCAGGTAAAAGCACGGAAGCAGGTGCCTCTCTGAGTGGGGTACGCAGTCTATCCCCAGACCATTGAGGAACCAGACTGCTCTAAACAGGGCTTTAGGGGCTCTGTTCCCTCGAAGAGCTGTGGCTCCCCCTGCCTCCAATCACCCTCACATACCTTCCTTCCTTCTGCAATGGTCACTGAGTAACTACTATGTGAATGCTGATAAGGAAAACAAATAAAACCATGATTTGAGCTCAGGAAAGGTTGCACCAGCATCAGGTCTTGAAGGATGAATAGGAGTTGGCCAGGAGTAGGAGCTGGTGGAGAGAGATGTTATGGGCAGAGGAAGCAGAAGCCTGTGCAAAGGCTGAATCACTGTCTCCAGGCACAGCTTACATCCTCCCTCTACATTCCTTGGGGCCTGGCCTGTCTGGCTCTACCACTCAACAGACATTTTATGGTGGGGACAGGGTCCAGTTCAATTCTGGCACCAATCCAGCACTACTAAAATGTCAAATAAAATTAGATACTTCTGTAATGAGCATCAGATCCTTCTACCTCCCCCAACACTAACTTATCTTGCCAAGCCTCAGTTTCCCCATCTATGAAATAGGGCCAATTCTGAGAAGGCTCTGGTAGGGGTCTCAGGTTGAGGTGGGGTGATATTTTTTCTTTTCTTTCAATTTGTAACCTACCTCTTTCCTTACAAAAAAATTTAAAGACTGGTACAGTGGACATCAGTAACCTTCAGATTCCCTAATCTTAATATCAGGCCACTTTTACTTAATCTCTGCTATACTTATCTATCTATAATTTTTCTGAACCATTTGAAAGGAAATCACAGCAGACATTCTGACATTTCTCCTAAAACTCTTCAGGCCACATCAACTAAGACAAGGACAGTCTCCTATATAACCACAATAGCATTACTACATCAAAGAAAATTAATAATTTAATATCCAGGACAGGGCAGGAGAATCAAAAGCTGAACCCATGCCAGGTCCTTCGAACAGAAGGGGGCATTAAATATCTCCAAACCGATTCAACCCAAAAAGATCCTCTCCAAGACTCGTTATGGTTAAACTGGCAAAGCTCAAAGACAAAGACAGAATCTTAAAAGAAGCAGGAGAAAAGCATCAAGTCACCTATAAGGGAGCCCCTATCAGACTAACAGTAGACTTTTCAACAGAAGCTCTACAGGCCAGAAGAAAACAGGTGATATATTCAACATACTAAAAGAAAAAAAACTGCCAGCCAAGAATACTACACCCTGCAAGGCTGTCCTTCAGAAAAGAGGGTAAAATAGTGTATCTTCTAGACAAACAAAAACTGCGGGAGGGGACTGGCCAATTAGTTCAGTGGGTTAGAGTGCAGGCTTATAACGCTTAGGTCACAGGTTTGGATCCCCTTAGCCGACCAACCACCGGAAAAACAAAATCAATAAATAATAATAACTGATAATCACTATCACAAATACACAAGAAAAGACAGGAGAGTCACCAGTGGAGACTGGAAAAAGAAGAGGATGTTTCTCTCCTCAAAGCCCATTCCAGAGTAATAGAAGTAACTGCTTTACCATGCCTCTGCATTATTTTTGATTTTAGTAATTCAGTCTTCTCTCTTTTTTTCTTGGTCAGTCTAAAGGTTTGCAAATTTCGTTGATCTTTTTAAAGAATCAACTTTTGGCTTTGTTGATTTTCTCTATTGTTTTTTAATTCCCTATTTCATTATTTGTTGTAGTTTTTGTTATTTCCTACTTATATTTGCTTTTGATTTAGTTTTTTTTTTTTTTCTTTTCCCTAAGGTAGAAGTTTACATTACTGATTTGAGATTTTTCTTATTTTTAATATAGGTAAGCACTGCATGAGCCCTGCATCCTGTAAATTTTGATATGTTACGCTTTGGTTTTTATCTTAAAGTACTCTCTAATTTCCCTGTGAATTTTCTTTTTACCCATTGTTTATTTAGGAGAGTGTTGTTTAATTTCCACACATTTGTGAATTTTCTAAATTTCCTTCTGTTATTGTGGTCAGAAAACATATTTGCTATGATCTTGGTCTTTTTAAATGTATTAAGACTTGTTTTGTGGCCAAAAATAAAAATGAAAAAGAATAAAAAAGAAAGAAAGGGGCATTAGAGAGTGGGAGCCCGAGAGCAGAGACGGAGGGGCAGGCGCCCCCACTGCCCATCCCGAGGAGGGAAGTGGCCGCGTGACCTGAGCCTCCAGAGCACTAGAACCGACCCTTTTCCCAGTGTCCCAACCATTTGTTCTGCAGCTGTGCTTTAAATACGAATTTCCAATTGGTAAATTTCTGCAATTAGTCCCCCAAATTATTTACATAGCTTATTTATTTTTTTAAAATCTGGATTCAAAGTTCTTACGCTGCATTTGACTGTTTTGTCTCTTACTCTATCTGGGAGGGGAGTCAGGCAATAGAGCCTGGATCTGAGAGCCTAGAAAGCTGACACTCCCTGGCCAGCCCCGATCCCGCCGCTCCAGGGCGGTAGGCTGGGAGCAGCCCGCGGACCAGGTGTCCTGGTCTGGAGGAACCAAGACCCGGAGCTGGGAGTTGCGGAGGTGGAGGGGAGTGCAGACCTAGGGAGGTTCGTTGGAGGAAGTTCCCGCCCTGCCGTCCCGGATGTCCCGCCCCTTAGCAACGGGCACAGCGTCCCTCACTGGAGACCGGCTGGACAGACTCCTGCACTGCTCGGTGGAGCTGGTAGGTCGGTAAGCCAGAGGGATCGCGGGGCGAGCGCGGGCAGCGGGACCTCGATAAGACGCAGAGGACGAGTGGACAGGGAGGAGGCCGTCCTCCTGGTCCAGGGTCCCCATTCCCACCCACGAGCCTGGGTGCCCGACCGAGCCTACGTCGGTGGGGAAAAAGGAGGACACGCTTTAAATAGCCTTGCAGTTAAGTCCTGTATTTAGCAGGTAGGATTTTGGGGCCCCAGCTCCATGCTGAGAATGTGGCCCCCTCCTCCTGTGCAAAGCTCATCCAGGGACGGAGCCAAGGTTCTGGTCCTTATCAGCCACCCATCCCTCCCCTGACCACAGAGTTGTTACAAAGATCAACTTCATTCCTTCCTTTACTCACCCCATTCGTTCATTCATTCATTTGTTCACACAATCATTCTGCAAATACTTTCTAGGCACCAACTGTGTGCCAAGCCTGTGCCAGTCCCAGGTAGTTGCCCAGTTTCCAGAGATCAATGTTACTTGAAAATTCCTGTCAGCTGACAGGAGACAGATGCGTGCATGTAATACAGGGAGATGTTCATTGCAGGGAGGAGCCTCAGACAGCTGTGGGAACACAGAGGGTGCTTGCATCAGGTGAATGCTTCAAAAGAGCAGAGAGAACCCCAAGCCTGTGGGAGTAATAACCACCCACAGTATTGTTTTCTTGGTAGCCCCAGCAAGGGCAGAAGCTTCCAAAGTCCCTTAAAGTCACAGATCCATTTGTCAAATGAGAGCTTACACAGAATCCTGGAATGTGAAACAGAAAAAGGTATATAGGGTCCTTGTTGAATCAAGGGTAGGTGGCTTTGAGGCCCTCCCACTTAGGTCTTCCTCCCCACAGGCACCCATTTTGCAGAATCTCAGAGCTCCTCGGACACAGTTTTGAGAACCACTGTTATGGTGCTGGGAACATGGCCCTTTGGGTCAGCCAGAGGTAAAGACCTCAGTTCCCATTCTGGTTCTGCTAATTCTTGGTTGTGTGACCTTTGCAAGTTTCTTTACTTCTCTGGGCCTTAATTTCCTTGTTTATAAATTGAAGATAGTAGTAGTACGTATTGTAAGGATCAAATACCCCTGTTCATCTGTGTCCATTCAGCTGAATGTTTGGTGGGTGGTTGAGTCACATGGGGTTGAATGTCACTGAATCCAACCTGAGGCCTCCTCTAACTCAAGCCAATAGGGCTCCCAGGTGATCTGAGTGGGGAGAAAGAATTTAGGTTCAAATTTTGACTGCTTCTTCCTGGCTGTGTGACCTTGGGCAGGTCACTTTACCTCTCTGAGCTTCGTTTTCCTGCCTCTGAGAAATGAGGATAGTCTCAGTTCCCACCTCGGAAGTTTAAATGAGATGCTGTATGGAATAAGTCTAAGCCCCTGAAGACATTCACCATTCCCAACACTATGCCTGCCAGGGCCACCCCTACCATCTTACTGGCCAGTTCCCTCACTCAAACAAAGCGTAGTGCCCAGAGTGACCAGTGGCAGAGGCCTTGCTGGGAACCATGTCCTTCTCCCTCCTGCCAGCTGCACTCATTCCCAAGCAGAGGCGCTTTCACCCATGGGGCCATGACAGGAGGCAGAGGCCTTTCTGTCTGTCTGTCTGTATATTACAGCTGCTGCACACACTGGCAATGTACAGGTGCTCAGAGCTGGGGCGGAACTAGAAGGGAGCTGTTGTGAATGGCAGAGGGATGGAGGAGAAACAGGGCTCTGAATTTGCAGCTCATTCTCATACCTTCCTTCTTGGGACACTCCTCGATGCATCCCCCACTGCCAACCCTCTCGGGGAGAAACAGCCCATGGGCAGCAAATCCACCCATCATGGACTGTTTTGCCCCCAGCAACCACTGCAGTTTTCTGGACATTTGTGCATCCGTTATAACACATGAGTAAAGCAGGCCAAGCATGTTTAAGCCCATTCGAGAGCTGGGGAAATGGGAGTGGACAGCTTTCCTGTAGAGTTGGGACCCTGGTCCCTCTAAGCCCTGCTCTGTCTGTTTGGTGATTTTGTTCAGAGATGAAACAGACGTCTGTGGGTTTGCAGCATGGTGGGGCTGAGCCCCAAGGGGTCCTCTGTTCTTTAGGGTGCTCTGGGAAGGGCTGCTGACTGTCAGACTGGTGGGCTAGACTTGGCATTGTCTTTAGCACCTGCCTTGGGCAGCAGCTGGGCAGTAGCTGGCCACCAGGGAGTGGATTCAGGGAGCTGAGTTCCAGTGGGGGAGGCCTGGCAGGCCTGACTAGTAAAGGCTGGCTGGCCTTCGGGCTGGGCATCTGGGGCTCTCTGCCAGAACCCCACCTGCCATCCTCCATCCATCAAGTGGCCTGCCAACCCATCACCCCCTTCTTAGAAATGGGCTCAGCTGCTGCAGGCTGCTTCAGCACAGGCTGGGTAGCTTTGCTCCAGACAGCTCCACCCCCTCCCCCACCCCGGGTGACTAAAACAGAGATGGAGGAGCACAAAACACCCAGCAAAAAGAGCAGCCTGTATTGCAAACTCCTGGCTACTTTGTCTCAGTGTGCAGAGGGCAGGGGAAAATCGGATGGGTGGGAGAAGGGGTGCTTGCTTGGGCCAGGCCCTGATTTCCTTTTGTTAAGATGCTTTCTTTTTTTATTGAAATTTTTATTAAGATAACTGTAGACTTCTTTTTTATTTTTTGTATGTGCATTATGTGAAAAACCTCTTCTTTCCCATAGCCTGTCTGATTTCTTGTAACATTCTTTGGCCCAAGAATTTCCCCTGGTGATTCATTTTGAGGTAGCCCAAAGTAACGGTGGCTTGGCAGGGGTTTGCTCATCCAATAATAAAATCCCTGCAAACCCTTGTCCTTAGGTGGTGGATGTGCAAGCAACCCAGTGGCATCTGCTACTCCCTTTGCAAAGACAGAAGGGTGTACAGTTCCTGAGCTGTGCTGACCCCAAGAGCCAGGGTGGGTGAACACCATTTTGTTGCTGGTCGGGGAATCTGTGGATCAATGGAGGGTCAGGGTCAGAGTCCTGCTGAAAAGACCATTTAGTCCTCTGGCTCCTGGGGTATGGTGGGAAGTGGGGTGGGCAAACACGGGCGAGGCAGGCATGACCCAGTGCTTACAGGTGCCAGTGAGGCTTCATGCCCTGCACTGGGGAGAGGCAGGGCAGTCCAGCAGGGCTGGGCAGGGAGCACCAGGGCTGCTTCTGGCTGAATCAGTTTAGGAAAATTCATTGAGTGAGTGAGCTCTGGGCCTCCCTCCTGATGTCCCCTGCTGAGAAGCCAGGCCTTGCTCTTGAAAATGAGGGAGGGGGTGGGTAGGTGTAGAAGGATGCACTGGGGTGGGGGCATCTGCAGAGCTTCCCCATGCTTAGCCCCTACCTCTGTGGGGGCTTATTTCTTACAAGCAACATGTAGTGCAGGCCTCCCCTGGCACTGTGTCCAACTTAGGAGGAGACACTTCTTCCCTCCTCACCCCCTCCTCTGTTATCTGTGGGTTTGGGCCTAGGGCTTGTTGCAGAGGCAGTCTAAGCACCCATGTGTCATGGTGCCCCTGGGTGCTGAGACAGAGGCTGGCAAGAACTGAGTGATGCTGGTATCTTCTCTTAGGAGATCTGACTGCGGCATCTCCCTGAGGAGCAGTATGGAGCAGCCTAACAGAGAAGGCTGCAGCCCGGGAAGGACCCCTCAGGGCTCAGAGTGCAATATGGGGAAGACTCAAAGGGACATAGAGTGGAACCTGGGGAAAAATCTTCTGGGACCAGACTATGGGATGGGGAATCCTCCTCCAGACCCTGACCCCAAACCCCTGTCTCTGGACCAACCCACACTCTCAGACTTGGGGCAGACCCAGAAGTCACCTCTCACAGGCACTGACAAGAAGTACCCCCTGATGAAGCAACGGGGGTTCTACTCTGACATCCTTAGCCCTGGGACCTTGGATCAACTTGGGGTGAGTACGGCAGTTGTCACCTACCAAGCCTCGGCCCTCCCTGTGGGTTCCATCTGCCCATATTTCCATCCTTCTCTCCATCAATCCATCTCTTCACTTAGCCATTTATCTATTTATGTCTCTGTCTGTCTGTCAATTTGCCCACCCACCCACTCACCCACCCATCCATCCATCTTTCTGACTATCCATCTGTCCATTCATTCAACAATTTATTGCTGAGCTCCTGCTATGTGCTAGGCCCTGGACTGGGCAATGGAGACATAGCAAGGATGAGACATCCACATTCCTATTGTGGTGGAGCAATGGGTTTAGTGGAGAAATCCCCCTCCCCCAGCTCTGGCTGGGGAGGATCCCATGGATAAGGTGGCATGCTGCTGAGATCTAAGAGATGGGTGCGCATTTGCTGGGTGAGAGAGGGGCTGGGGGGAGTGTTCCAGGTACGGGGAACAGCAGGTCCAAAGGCCTGAGGTTCCTGAGAGAGGGCATGGCCCATGTGATGAAAGAGTGTAGAATATGAAGGGAAAGATCGAGGGATGAGGCTGGGGGCAGGGGGAGGATGGGGAGGGAATAACTAGGAGAGAGTTCATGGAGCCCAGTAGGTCCTGGGCAGCCTTAGGAAGGTTTTAGGTAGGGATGGGGCCAAGAAAGACAAGGCGAGGACCCAATGATACCCACTACACTGGTGGCTCCAGCGTGGCCCTTGGGAGAGGAGGTAGGCACAGAGACCCCTGCTGGCCTTGAGTACCTGTCTCATGGCTCAGCCCTGGAAACACGCTGGGGCTGTTCTCAGAGTGAGAAGGGGAGCTGTGCTGGACCAGAACAGGGTGGGGCCGGGGTGTCCCAGGTGGCCACAGCTTGTTGCCTTCTATGGCTTTGAAGGAGGAATTATGTGAACTCACTGGTTCTGCCCTGCCGCCATGCTCCTGGGGTGCTCCCTGGTGGGCCTCAGGTGAGGCACCTGGCCTTGGGGTTCCCCTCAGGTCCTGAATGTCCCTGCAAAGCTTACGCACACTCAGGGCTCTGGGTCTGCTTTCAGAATGTGTGTCATGGCCGCTGCACAAACCAGAACTTCCTGCAGCAGTCTGACCTTGACAAGTTCGCCCCGAAAGGTCAGTGCTCAGGAGGGATGGGCAGGTGGGTCTTGGTGGGCGTTTAGAAGCAAGGTCTCTGGCCTCAGGGGGATGGTCTGTTTCCAGCTGAGAGCCCCTGTTCCTCAGCTGTAAAATGGGGATAATAAGAGATAAGGTGCTTTGCAGGGGCCTGGCTCATGAACGAGCTTGGTGAACCACAGCTGTTTTATCACAGCTCTTAGCAGAGCTGTGACAAGGCCACCATTCTGGGCTGGGGCTGCTGGGGTTCAGGGCCACAGTCTGTCCACCCAGCTGGGGTCAGAAGGGCATTTATGTGTGTGTTTTCTGCTTCCCCTGGAATGTGGTCTTGAAGGAAGCCAGGCCTGTGCCTGAGTTGCTCCCTGCTGGGGCCCCAGCACCTAGAACAGGGCGTGACACAGGTAGGTGCCCAGGAGGTCTTTGCTGAAGGATGGAAGGAGGACTCTCTTCTCAGGCTCCATGGTGAGTCTTGGAGCACAACTGGAGTGTTAAGGACTGGGACAGGTCTGCAGGGTGTGGGGCAGTCCCTGGTGGCACAGGGGAGAATAGGGCATCTCCAGGATAGCCCCTGAGTGGTGGTGAGGAATTGGGCAGGGGCCCTCCCACCTGGCTGGGTTTCCCTTTCCCCTTGTCCGGCCTGAAGTACACCCTCTTCGATCAGGCCCAGATGCCCCATGACCCTCCTCTCCACCCCAGGAAAGACCTGGATCCTTGCTGGCACTGCCCAGATTAGTCCTTTCAGAGCCCATGGGCCTTATGGGGTCTGTAAATGCCCTAAACTGGCACAGAAAACACCACCACAAGTATGCATTTGTGTGGTTATCTGAGGAGCTGGCCTGTTGTATCCAAGTCTCACAAGTATCTGTGACCCAGAAAATAGTTACAAACCACAGATCCTGGGGCTGTGAGAGTACTGGGAAGGGTGCTCCTGCTGTCTATGGCAGAAGTGGGGATGGGGATGGTCAGCAGTTTAGTGGCCCTACTCACTTGAGGAAAAGCAGCCCCTAAGGCCACAGGGTGGTGTCAGTCACTGTCGTTGGCAGCCAGCAGCAGAAGTATGCTCTGCTGCCCGAGGGCTAGACAGAGGGCTTGAGAAGCCTGCCGAGGGCTCTTGGATGCAGCAGGGGCTGGAGGCCAGGTCTGGCTCTCTTCACTCTGGCGTCTTCTTGGCCTCTGAGTGGGTCCTGAGAGTGGAATGGTGTTGCGGACCCACAGGCTCAAGAGCTGATGATTAGGGGTCTGAAAACTGCCTTCTCGGCTGGGGCTTTTTGGTGCCAGGGGCTTCTTTGAATACCTGGCAGCTTTGGTAAGAGAGTGGACTTCAGCTGAAGGTGGATGGCCTCTGTTGAGCATCTGAAACCCGTCCAGGCCCAGCCTCTGGAGGCTCCCGTGGGGCCCCCGATGATAATCCCAAGGTGGGCCCTCCCACAGTGTGCCCACCTCTTGACCCCAGAGAGGTGGTGAGGCCCAAGGAGAGGGTCATGTGGGCTTCCTAGGGTCCTTGGGACTCTTTGGACCTTTCTCTCACCAGGAGAGTAGATGGGACTGTCATTGGGCCGTCCAGAGCCCACCCATCCCCTAGGAAAAGGTGGCCCATCTCATCCCAAAGTATATTTCTGCACCCCCTTTCCCCACCTCTACAGTCTCAGTTAGCCTGGGACTTTCTTCTTCACTGAGCACCCTGTGTCCTGGGAAACCCCTTAGTCCCTTAGGGCCAACTGGGATGGCTGAGGCCTTAGTCCTTTTTCTGATGCTATAACAGAATACCACAATTTATTTGACTCGTGGTTTTGGTGGCTGGGAAGTCCAAGATCGAGAAGCCACGTCTGATGAGGGTCTTCTTGCTGCATCAAAACATGGCTGACTAGCATTAATACATTCGTGAGGACAGAGTCCTCATGACCTAATTACCTCTTACAGGCCCCACCTCCCAATATCCTTTCATTGGGGATTAAGTTTCTAATACATGGACTCTGAGGGGGCACACACTAAAACCATAGCAGTTGGTTGCCCTATGTATGGGTCCATCCCCACCAACTCCCCTTCCCCAGACCTGGAATGAAAGCCTCTGTGTGCCCTGGTTATTTAAGCAGGGACAGCCATTTGTAACTTGAGGGTTGCACAGGGCCGGGATGCTGATGCCACCCCTCCTAGGATGCCTTGAACCTGGAAATGGCCCCAGGGATGAATGGAGTTCAGACTCCAATATGCGGGGGGGGCCTCTGGAGTAGGGGTGCAGGAACCCATTCAACTTTGCCTTCCCATCGAGTTGTAATCCCCACCAGTAGTTCAATTCAGCACCTGGCTTGAGCAATGGCCCCTGGTGCTGGTGTCCTGGGGGGCGTGGAGGGAAATGGTCCAACATGCTAGCTCTGGACAGGGACAGCAGGGCCAAAACAGATATTTTGGAGGCCCTTGCTCCTCTAGGCTTGCCCCCCCTTGGCACTTGGGGGTCTGTCTTCTCCTCGCTACTGCCTGGCTACAGGCAAGCTCTGAGTTTCCCCCACCCCAAAGGCCCTGCCTCTGCCTCTGCCTGCAGTCAGAACCTTCGAGATCCCCGAGGACTTCAAGGAGCACATAGAGCAGCAGTGCTTCGGGCTCACCACCCAGATGCTCACCCAGACTGACTTTCCACTGTGGGCCTATGAGCCCAAGGTGCAGGTGCCCTTCCAGGTGTTGCCAGGCCAGTGCCTCCGCAAGATCGAGATTGAGAGGTATGGCTGGGTGGGCTGTGGAGAGGGCCTGTTCTCTGAGAGGTGGTGTCTACCCGACTCAGGGAGTGAGGGACTACAGACCCCTAGACCCACAGCAGAGTCTGTGCACAAGTGTTTAAATCAAATCTTGTAGCCCTTTGGTCCCTTAATAGGAAGAAATTGCTTTCCTTGCTGTGGAATTGGGGAGGGTGGCATTTAGGTCAATGAAGTGGGACTGCCAGAGCAGGACATAAGGACAGTTGTAGCCCAGGACATCAGCCCTGACCACCACACCACTTCCTGACAAGTCCCAGAGGTACGGAGGACACAGAAGGGTCCTTAGACCACACCCCTACAATAACAACCCCATGCGCCCTTGCACACCCATGGAACCACCTCACACGAGCCAAGCTGTTCTGACGGCCCCTTCCTGCCCTCGGCCAGGAGGAAGCGGCAGTACCAGAGCCTGGACATCGAGCAGTTGCTGGCCAGTGAGGGCATCGACTCCAACAAGCTTATGCCGAGACATCCAGATCCCCAAAATCCCCAAACCATAGAACAGGGCCATGACCCGCTCTTCCCCATCTATCTCCCGCTGAAGGTGAGCTGGGCTTCCACAGATGGCCAATGGGCAGGGGGTGGGGGGAGGTGCAGGACCCCAGCTGAGGCTCAGGAGTCAGACCCAAAAGAGGATCCCATGCCAATCCCAAGTACTCACTTGTCACACAGGGCAACTGAAGAAACAGAACCCACCCCAGGTGCTTCGAGCATTCTAGACTGCGGCAGGAGGGGCCCCTGGCACCCCTGGGATACTGATTCTCTTCTTCCCTGGGAGCCTGGGCAGCCTGTGTGCCTGGCCTCTGCTCCCCCACCCAAGGGCACCTAGAAGCAGCCAGTTGGTCTGAGGAGCAGTGAACGGGCCTGCTTGGGGGTGGGGAACTTCTAGGTGCACTGAAATGGGGAAACTTGGGATGAAGGAGGGCATCAGTGCCATCCCCTTGGGTACAGATGGGGAAACTGAGTCCATGGAGGAGAAAGAGGGAGAAAGCCTGGTTCTGGCTTTCACCCACCTCATCTCCCTTCCTCTCTGTGACCCTGAGTATCTCTTGCCTGGTGGTTCCTGTGGGGAAGCAAAGCTGAATCCAGATGCCCATTTCCCTACTAAGGGCTGCCCCCTGACAGCCCTGACTCTCCATTTTTTTCAAGTCAGTGTGGGATGCTCAGAAAAATCCAAGGGCCCCCTCTTCCCTGAGCTGGATGATCCTGGGTAATGGGAGAGTCTCCTGCTCTGAGTCCCCAGACACCTCTCTGCCCAAGCCTTAGATGGCTTGGCAGGACATGGATCCAGGGTTTCAACCAGACAGACCCTGCGGACTCCGGCCCCCAGCCTGCAGCTCCCTTGTCTGGGGAGGAGGCTGCTCGGGCACCTCTATCTCACCTGGGCCCTGCTAGGGGAGCTGCTTCCTCCCGATGTTTGCCTGCTTTCTTCTAGGTGTTTGACAATGAAGAGTTTGACTGCCGGACTCCCAGAGAGTGGATCAACTTGGGCTTGGAGCCGGGGTCTCTGGACAGGAAACCCGTCCCTGGAAAAGCCCTCCTGCCCACTGATGACTTCCTGGGGCATGGTGAGCAGGGCCAGTCCAGGGTGGGGGAACCATCTCGTTTGGGCAGTAGCCCTGTCATGGACTCCTGGGCTCCCCTGGGACCCAGCAGCCATGGGAGGTGAGCAACCTTTCGAGGCCTCCCAGCTGGGATACAGGTCAAGGAGTTGACCACACAGAGGCAGGAAATGTAGGGACCAGGGATGCCATTCTCAGGAGGACTGGGGAAGGGACAGCCAGATGGTCTCCAGAGTAAAAAAAATCTTTGATTTGTTGATAATAAAAATGTACACACTCATTGGAAATGTTCAAAGGCGCATGAGGGACGCAACCCAAGCCCTTCTATCCCACCACCCAGAAATCATCATTGTTGCTGGTATACCTGTGCCACTCAGCTTTACCTCTGCATGGACAATATGCATACTGTCCCACACTTGCTGGCAAACACACACAAACACAGCGTCACACACATTCACAATTGCACTGTCACTTTGGTTCTTCTGGCTCTTCCTGTGGCTGGGGATTCCTCAGAGGCCAGCTCAGCTGGGAGGAAGCAGGGCCCTGCCTTTGCTGGAGCCAGAGGGGGTCATCCTGGTGGGAGAGAGGCCAGACTAGTGACCTATTAGACCCCCTCCCACACCTGCTGCCTGCACTCAGAGGACCCTACCTGATCCCTGGCAGGGAGCACTGGTGGGGTTTCCCCTCCTGTTTCAGAGGATCCCAAGAGTCAGAAGCTGGAGTACAAGTGGTGTGAGGTTGGCGTCCTGGACTATGATGAAGAGAAGAAGCTGTATCTGGTACACAAGACAGACAAGAGAGGCCTGGTGCGAGATGAGATGGGGAAGCCCATCCTGAATGGAGGAGTCACTGCTGAAGGTACAAGCTCCCTACGTCTGCCCAGGTGGAACCCCAGCTCATGCCTGGCCTGGCCTGTGACTGAGGCTAATCCCCACCCAGGGCCCTGCCAGCTCAGGTCTGAATTCTACTTTCTCTGTTTGTACTTTGGCTGTCTGTCCCCTGACTAGCAAGAACTTGAGACATCACTCAGAGAACCCAGGAAGGACAAATGGCCATTATTTGGTATGTCAGCTCTGAGCAGCTGGCAGTGTCACTTTTAGCATGACATTCAAAAGGAGCCCTAGGTCTATCAATTAGTGATGTCTTCCCTGGGTTTGGCATTGAGGAATGGGCACTTGAACAGCCACCCCTGTATAATTCCTTGTCTGAGCATAGCTCTTTACAGTTTACAAAGCACTTTCACATGTATCCGACACCCTGTGAGGAGGGCAGGGCAGGGAGTGTCATCATACCAATTTCACAGATGGGACAGGGGGTCAGAGAAGGGAAACAACTTGCTCAGGGCCATTGTGCAGCAGTGGCACAATCTCCAGAACCCAGTGCTCCAGCCCACAGAGCCTGACTGCATGTCCTTTCTCCCTCCTGCCTGGCCCCCAGGAAGGCCACCCCTTCTGGTCTGTCAGTACTGGGTGCCCCGGATCCAGCTGCTCTTCTGTGCTGAGGACCCTCGTGTGTTCACGCAGCGTGTGGTCCAGGCCAGTGCCCTGCGTAAGAACACGGAGGCACTGCTGCTGTACAACCTGTACGTGGACTGCATGCCCTCCAAGGGCCAGCGGATCATCAATGAGCAGAGCCTAAGCAGGATAAAGCAGTGGGCCATGAGCACACCCCGGATGCGCAAAGGGCCACAGTGAGTCCCCACCTGACCTTCTCCTTGCCAGAACATCATCTCCTCCAGAGACCCTTTCTGTGGGGAAGCAGTGCTTTGGGGCAGCGGGGGGGAGGGTTCAGGGGGTGGGTTGGGAGTTGAGCTTCCTCGGGGTTTATTTGGGGCTATCTTGCACTATGGGCCTGTGGGGGTCCCAAACAATTTCTGGTTCATTTCCAGATTGTTCAATATCAGTATGGACTCATAGATTCTTATTTTATTCAAAAAATTATGAGGCATTGCTACCATTTTTTATTTTGATGCTCAAATTGTCCCAGATTTAGCCACTGGGAACCTCTTCAAGCTAATTCCTGTGTTCTTTTGGCTGTTCCCATCATTCTTTGAGCATGTCCTTACTTACTTTCAGGCACAGCAAGAAGTTTCAGGGTCATCTCGTACTTTCCCAGATCCAGCCCTGAAATCAGCCATTTCTCCAAGGAGCCTTGATTCCTTTTAGTGGGGAATGGTATTTAGAAGCCAAGCTCTAGGCATTAGATGTGCTTGTTGCTACTGGGAAATCACTGCTTCAAGGCTCTTAGAGCAGACAGATCTGGGAGATATGTATATGCATGTGTGTGTGTATATATATATATATATGTATGTGTATATATACTTTTATATCATATCATATTATTTCATTATTTCATATTATTTCATATAATCTCCACACATGTCTATGTCTATTTCTATATCTATTGATCTGTCTGTTAAAAACCCTGAGTTCATACTGATACCTTCAGATTGACTCTAACACCAACAGGGCTTATTCTACATTTACATATTTATTTATTCCCTTCTCCAGGAGAAAACTGGCTCCCATTATTCACCATATATTGACCTGGTTGTTCAGTCTTAGAATATACAGAAAGTAGTTTCAAATTGTTAATCTGTATTCCTTAGAAGAAAAACTATAAGTGGACTTTTTTGTGTCTTTGGTTAGCAGTTGTTTTTCTCCTTAGCTTGGAGGCATATAGTCCAAATGCTACATTCAAGAGTTACATGATTTAGTTCTTCCCACCCCCTTCAGTGGGGTATGGTCTTCATTTTATGAAATGCAGCTTGGTTCATTTGTTTCATATATGTATATGTATATATGTACTTACTATATATACATATTATATATATTACTCAGTATGTATTATATTCCCTGTATATAAAATATAAAAATGTACTCTCTCTATATTATATATATTATTCAATATATATTATATTCTCTCTCTCTCCTCAAAATATGTATTGCCTAAAAGTGTATACTCAGAGATCTGTCACTCTCCACCCCATTCATTCTATCCTGTCCACATCCCCCATTTTTCTACCCTGTTCCTACCACTTGCCCCTAGGTAACAAATATCACTAGTTTCTGGTTTATCCTTTTTGTATTTATTATTGCACAAATGAACAGATACATGTATATTTCAGACACATGTATATTCTCTTATACACCCTTCTTACATGAAGAGTAGCCCACTATATTCTTTTGCACTTTGCTTTTTTCACTTACAATTTATCCTGGAAATCAATCCCTATCAGTTCATTGAGATTTTCTTCATTCATTTTTACAACTGCGTAGTAATCCATTGTGTGGATGTACCATGATTTACGCAACCACTTTTGGGCATTTAGGTCATTTCTGGTGTTTTGCAATTACAATGTTGTAATGAATAATCTCGTATGTTCATATGGCATTTGTATGTTTATATTGATGGAGGTGTAGCTTTTGGGTAAATTCTTAGAAGTGGGATTACTAGGTCAATAGATAAGTGCATATGTAGCTTTGTTAGGTTTTGCCAAATTTCCCTCCAGAAGGGTTATATCATTTCACATGCCCACCAGCAATGTGTGAGAATGCCCGCTTTCCCACAGCCTCACCAAGAGTGTGTTATAATACTATTCAATTTTTTGCTAGTCTGGAAGGTAAATAAGAAATTGTATCTCAGTGTAGCTTTAATTTTATCTTATTATGTGAGGTTGAACATCTTTTCCATTTTTTCATATGACTAAGAACAATTTATATATATTTTTGTGACATCTATTTATGTCTTTTGCCCATTTTTTTCTCTCTCAGATTTTTGGGCTTTTAATTCTATCTAATTTTGAGAGTTCTTTATCCATGAGGAACATTGTCTCTTTATCTGTGATATATGTCATAAATATCTTCTAGTTTGTCAGTTGTATTTTGACTTTGCTTATGGTGACTTTGCAATATAATAAAAAATACTTATTTTTTAGACATTCTTTTTTTTTTTTTTTTTTTTTTTCCTTTTTTTTTTTTTTTCATGCCCGG